AGGCCAAACACCACCTCGGCGGTGAGGAAAGGGTTTTAGTGGGTAAACAGCTTAGCTGGAGTCACACACAAACCAGAGCGACTGACCACCAGCTCTGGGAGTGCATAAAAGAGCATTTCCCAAACCTCATCGAAAAAAAAAATATTTTTATTATTTACCTAAAGCAAAAGTATGCATAGTATTATATTTTAGGTAAAATGTGAATAACCGAAGGGTTCATAATCAATCTCCGTTTTCCGGTTACTAACATTGATAAAATGTCATGATATGTTCCTAGAATGTTACAGAGTACGGACGTCTACAAGATATATAAATTTACAAGAAATTTGTAGATATTTATTTAAAACAAATTGCCTATACAGGGTGATTTAAAATTGGCGTCATTACTTTTAAGGGTATATAGGGGCCCGCATAGAGAGTAGGAGAAAAATATTGAAATTTTTTCTAAAATATATAATAAATAATAAAAAATTTCAAGCCGATTTTAACAGTTGAAGATCGAATTTCAACTTTGTTATTAAGCATTATTTTGAAAAGGTCCCACGTCTGATTGGCAGTCTATTGGAATCCTTAGGCATTCGAAAAGAAAAACTACGATCTTTTATTTTTTTTATTTTTTCTCTTTTATTTTCTTTGCTTCATGTTTATCCATGGTTACCAAAGTTTTTAATAATTACGAAGGAACAGGTATTCACGAAATGTTAATTAGGCTATCCGGGCGTTCTTATTTATTGCTTTATATCATATTTTGTCAATTTCCTATAACAATTAACATATTTGCAGATTGACAAAGCTATCTAGGCCTAATAATAATATATGTATTTGGTGTCTTTTGGTAACTCCAGGCCTTCGACCATATTTTAAAAGTGGACATGGAAAGAATGTAGATATTTGAAGAACATTTTCAAAATTAACACGATGCCATGGCATGAAAAATTGATAAACTTTTTATAATCGACAAGTAGAAGTAACAAAGGGGGCAAGTGGTTGTAATTATGCCTTAATGAGAGCGCTGTATGCCAATGTTCATGCTAAGCTTTATACCTGTCTGCCAAAGAAAATATAGCACCGCCAAGTGCCTGACCTTTGCTTGCACATTTGCCAATTATCTTGAGACTTACACTTTGGCACTTGCCCCCTTTGTTATTTCCACTCTTCAATCACAAAATCGTTGTTAACATAGCATGAAAGGCTGTTTTGGTTAGGCAAATACCAACTAGGCAAGGACAAGCGGCAGTACAATGATCGAATATGCATTTTTTTCAATAGGTAAAGGCACCAATGCCAAAGAGTAATAAGTATTTGCTAGTAATACAAAATAAATAAGTAAATAACTTAATAATAATAACTTAAGTAATAGTTCCGTCGTTGGTACATTACCAGACAATCAAAAGAGACCATTTTCGGTCTATTCTGTAACGGTGAGAAAAGTAGGATACGCAACCGCGAAGTTAAAAATATCAAATCAATTAAACATGCGTATTGTAACTTCTAACTTTGGAGCTATATTATTTATATCATTTTATGTTTTTTTCATAGAATTGTATGTTCTTGTTAGTGATAAATAATAAATAAATAAATATTAGCTAATGGTAAAATTCCAATTAAAATAAAATTAGCTTTTTGTTCCCCTATGGTGATAGAACTGAATTGCTAGTTATTGCTCTATTTTTTCCTTGTGTACATACAACCATCAAGTAGAAGATAACAGGCTTAACAAAAACTGACTTGGCATTTCAAGCGATATCTGCTTTTGTGCATCAAGCATTATTATTGTTAAGTCATATAAACTACAACACTAACTTTGTTAATTAACTTGGAAGCATAATTATAATAGAGCTTAGTCAACCCAATGAACATAAATATAAATCACTCGGGAAAATAGATAACGTGTTTTTGGGTTGTCTGGGAATGAACGTTTTTTGCCTTTAGGGATCGATTGTATTTCTTGGAAATTTAATCCAATTAGCGTTGTATAATTTACTGTGTTATTCTTGCTCAAGTCAGACCACACAAGAGTCTCAAAATAGCACGTACGGCATTAACGAGTAAAAAATAAGCCAACAAAAAAGGCGGTAATAGCGGATTTGATTTTGTGTCTTAACTCATCTCGGCTTGTTTGTCCAAATTATTTACATATTTATTTTTGGAATTATATATGAGTGTACGTGCATAGATCAATCAGATGAGACTTAAAGTCATTAGCTTTCAATACATATCATTTTTTTAAGAAGATTTTAGCATCATCACGAATGATTCTAAATTTTAACATTTTTGAGAACACATCGAATAAGTTTAGAAATTAAGTTTTATTTTATCTCCTGAAATAAGTGGCCAAGAACCGAATTTCAATTTGTTTATCACACTGTTTCATTGTTAACGTTTTCATGCAGTGTATGACAAAACTTTTGTCAGCATTTTTAAAAGTCGGGATACGAAAAAGAGAAAATTTGCAATTAATTCATCTCTTGAGGTTAATATGCAATATTATAGAAACCCCTCGCCCCAGGACAAATACTCAATTACAAAAACGATATTTAGACGGCGAAAAAAAGTGACCATTAATTTTGATAACCCAAAAATACAACGCGGAGTTTAACAAAATTTTCATCGCAACCATTACCGTTATTTGTTTTACATGGAAATGTCGCTTTCATACAGAATAGCCAGCACAAAAGATTCCTCCATGTTTATTAGCCATTAAAGCTGGGAGCTCGTTCTGCCACGTATGCGAAACCAAAATAAATTCACCTCTAAACTCCGAACGTGACGTTGCGTTGTTCACTCAATGTATACTAGTGGTCTTAGGCAGAATTAATTTAAAGTCGTGCTCATCGGCATGCCAGAATACCATCAAATGTTATAACGCAAATAGTTCATAACACTAAAGCAAATATTATAGGTTGAAGCTAGACTGAGTCCTAAAATTTAATCAGTTATCAATTTATTCCAAAAATATTTATTGAATAAACCAAATCATAAAATTAACGCTCGTCTACATTATAGCATATTTTAAACTAAAATTGATAGCATTGATGCGATGCATACGCGATGGTATGCCAAGAATGTTAGTTAAGATGTCATAATTTCCCATGACTCGATAAATTTACCGGAACTTGCTTAAATTTTGTTTGTGCTTAATTAGTGCGTTTAGGCATAATGTTTCTGCTTAATTAGTGCGTGTAGGTTGGATTACATTTAATAGCACTTGAAGTCATACACACGTATACATCAGGTGCTCTGCAAATAGCAGTTTTTGACAAAATCGAGAATCGATCAATATGACCAACTTTGGAATACTCTCATATTTTGTAGGTAAAAAACCATATGCCACAATTTTTTTCGAGCATATATGCAAACATTTCCAGTGTAGCATAGCAAAAACAAATGAAGATGGTCTAGAGTTATATGAGTCCATAGCATCTAGAATATGGTTCATGCCTGGGTTTTGGTGCGTGGGTAAGGCACTTGTCTGAAAAATCTCAAAGTAGTAAGTTTATATCTAGTAGTAGTAGAATTAAAATTAGTTTATGTACAGAACTATTTTTGCAAATTAACGTTAGATACATGCGATGTATCAAAAATGTTATCAAATGTTTGCACTTTGCTGATAACAAAGCTAAGCATGCTTCCAATAAATTTGAACTTCCATAGTAAAGTCACAGGAGCCCTAACGGAACATTTGCTTATTTTATGCTTTAGTTGTTTTAATTAGAATTATCAATTTTTTTATGTAAGGCAAAAAGTGAACGTTGCCCAACTGAGAATGTTCCGTATCTCCCTTCATTTTAGACATGAAAAATTGATCCACAGATTATGTTATTACGTGGTAAGTGGGTTGTAATGGTCCGGAGGGAAAAGTGGGGCATTGAAGTAGCTTTCTACAAACCATAAATTTGATCACCTTGTATCTTTAAGGGGTTTGTTGTCGGATATATTGTAAAAATAATTGTTTGATATTCCATGAAACATCCGTACAAAAAAAGCTCTGCCCAGTTTATTCGCTGTTTAGCTATTTCCACAACAGTAAATTAAAATTTTTTTTAAGTGATCGAAAATACTTTTCACTTACTTTAGTTACTGATTTACGTACATCCATCGCTTATTGACTTATATGCTAGAAGCGGTTCTAAAAAAACCTAAATATTGAATTTAATATGTGATATGAATTTAATATGATAACACGATATCAAACAACAAATCACTTGGCAGATTACAATACTACAGGAAGAAAATATTTAGTACCTTTGTATAGTGATTCGTAGAAACAAATGCGTGCCTTTTGAAATAGTGCATGTTTTGCCACTTTTGTAGATAAATTCCCAATTCACCTAAAATATGACATAAACTAAAATATTTAGGAACATGTCCTGGGCTAACAACTTTGGTGACTAAACGAGAAACAGCTCGAATGCATTGAGCTCAGTTAAACCGTCTGGTTGCAATGACACAAAAATAGTAGGAATTCTATCAGGAACCAGTTTATTCATGAAATACTTCCATTATTTAAATAGTACACTCAGTGAATCCCTCGATCTCATTGAAGATTCCATTTAGCATAGAAATTTTGAAGCATTTCGAAAAGCTTTTGCTTTTAACGATAGTATAAGTTAAATTTAAATAAATATAGCTCTTAGTTTAGTAGTAAATTGAAACTTATAGTGAAATTCCAAAGCACTGCGGTGATATTTTTTGTGCTGGTTGACTTTTCGGGGTTTGAAACCTCATTTTAAATTTTTATTCAATTACGCTATAGCGTATAAGAAAAATTTGGATTGAAACTGCAAGGTTATTCCCATTTTTGGATTGGCTTCAACTCTTTTTTTGATAGATCTGTCGAGTTTGACTCTTCAGTCTCATATTTGTGCATGTTAAGATTGTAACGCTAACAAACAGGCTGTTAATAAAAATGCTGTTAGGAGGCCAATTACTACCTTGAAACCCAACGACATTTGACCATTTTAGTCCACTCTACGGTATAATAAAATCCCAATCCCAAAAATCTATGCTTATGACAATGTTAATAATTATGAGAAACCGGAACACTTTCTTCTCCAACTTTACAAAATATTTTCTCCTTCAAGTTTTGAGTGATTCCTATTGCTTATTTGCATCAAGCACCTGAATTAATTTCGTTTGCTTCACGCAAAATTGTATACACCTTTGATGCTTCCTTTCCTCACTGGAAGCAAGGATTATTATTATTATACTGAAATTATATATTGGAATTTGTAAATTGCCTGACTGAGTGATCGAATTTGCAATAACGCGTTTCAATTTATATGTGAGATATTAAATTGAAATCGCACATTTCAAAACAGTAAGCTAAATTTTAAAACCCTTGACGAAAATACTACAGACTGAAGTGCTGAGCGATTCCTTTTGCCAGAGTTCTCGATGCACATTTCATTCAAAAGATCTGCTTCTCATGTTGTTTCAGGAACTAAAATATTGATATGTCACATCTTCGCAATGCTAAACCTGGCTCAATTTCTTACATCAAAGGAAAGTCTGATATTTTCTTAGAAAGTTGTTCCTTTGCAAACAAGGAATTCAAACAGATCCAAGACATTGCGAAAACATTCGTTTTACTGAGCATGCTGTTTAAACTTTTATTTTATCCATTCGTCTTCTACAGAATCCGAAATGGAATGTTCTTTTAAGTGAAATTTAAAAACAGTTTTATCTATGCACTCCAAGGTTTTTTCGGCAACCAAGTTGATAATTCCCTATTTAAATAAATAACGATGGCTTGAAATGTGATTAAATGCATTATGTAATGTAAAATTACTTATACATTTATTTCAGCAAGTAGACAGTTTAAGGTTTTAATTACATATGTTGAATTTCTCCTAAGACCGATTTTTTTTAGTTTACCCCATGTTTTATCGACTCTATTCTCTTTTACAAGATTTCAATTTTGGTTGGTTTGTTTGACCCAGTGGATTACCAATGGACCGCAGTTTACAAAATTAAAAATAGCCTTAACCTTTGAAATGATCAAGACTCTGATCAAGACTAATGATTTATTGGACCTCCTGTATGCACATATATGTAAAATAACCGCTGTTATAAGCACTGCTTGAATTAATATATTCGCTGAAAGAAAGTTGCTGAAAAAAAACTGAACGATTTCACGCAAATACGACATTTTCAGTCAATTGTTTTCAAATGCATCAATTTCAATTCAAGACTGCGATATTCATTATAAAGGTAAACGCTCAGTTCTCAGCATTTAAAATGGCCATTCAGCCACCAAGATTTCCTTTTTAATACTTGATGGTCCCACTTAAATCTAAATAATCTCATCATTTATTTTCAGCAGAAAGATATTAAACCCAGACCACGAGAATAAAAAATAAAGCTTAATTCTAATGGGTGCGTACTTCACTTAATGACAAAATTTACATTTTTAAGTGTTCGCGATTAGATCCCTTGCTTTAAGAGAAAAGAAGCACTTATTGAATTTATGCTAATTATTCCATAGCCCGAAATTGTTATTGTGCATTGGTAGGCTATAAGTGATTGTTGTCATTTATTACCTGTATCAGCAAAAAGTGGTATTTCCATAACTCCAGATTTTCGTCACAAATTTAAGTCACGAAAAGATAATATTATATTGGTCGGATTTGCCATTTAAGCACCATAGTGATCGGTCGTGCCAATGCAAGTTTACGCACTTTATTTTGCTGATAATAGTACCCTATAATTTAAAGGAATTAATGGGATATTTATAGGCGCCTCACATATTTTCTGGACGAATAGATCCCACAAAGCTTAAAGCCGAGAAATGTTGTTATAGGTACAGCATGTACAACAAAATTCCAATTTAATTTTACTGAAACCTTCAAAAAGATATTGCTGACAGTGCGAGTTGCAGATTTTTATGTATTTGACGCAACGGCTTCAATATATTTAGAATACACATTAACTGCAGGCAGTATCAATTTATCTATGGCAAAAATTTGACTCCATATAGGTACAGTCGGTACAAAATAGTATTGACAAGTCAATAGAATAAAACGTAGAACCAATTTATACAAAAACCAGAAAATAATTGCAGATATAAAATTTAGGATTTCTCAACAGATCTTCTTTAATTGAACGAAACCATCATACCACTAATACAAAACCATTGAACGATAATTGATACAGCGCTTAAAGGTCGATTCAATTATTTCTAAGCCTGAAAGCATTTAGTATTTTTAGGCAATAATTATGGGGCTGATAATTTGTACGGTCCAAGAAGTCGTTAACTCTTTAACGCATCGTTTAATTAGGACTGAAGGCAATGCCATTATCAGCCATTTTAAAAGGCCCTTTCAATCCCTTTCAGGGCAATTTTTGGGGATCGGAGTTGTTCCGTATTAAAGTCTGCGAAATTCGCCCTCAAGCTTCTTTAGGATTTCAAGGAGAAATGATTAGTAATACATACATACAAAAACTTTTTGAAGGGTTATGTATTTCTTAATTTGGTAATTGCCGTTAGGAGAGATACAAACTTTATTATTCTTTATGCCTTGTTCGCTCCCATTTAAAACATGCTAATTTAGTACTGTTTATGCAATAATATTTTTATCTAAATACTATGCAGTATACCTTTTTCTACATTCTATTTTAAGATTAGAATATTTGTTTGCAAATTCACACACTGATCCATAGCAAAAAATTCCTTCTGTGCTCAATTAAAATAATTTTTGCATATAGCAATTTTATGAACTCTCCCGAAAACTCATATTGTCAGTTATTGTGTACAGGAAGCGAAACTTCCGCTGTGTCCAACGTTCCATTTAGAAGCATGGCAAACTTTGCAACATTTCACATTTTCTTATTTGCCGCACCTAAGAAAATGTTGCTGGGATGCTTGGTTCTTATTTTAACACAGTTCCAAGTTATGTCAAATTTGATCGTGCCTAGTTCATTTGGTTGAGCAGTTTGGTTTGTAACTACCAACGAACAGGTATGATTTTTAACTTTCCTGGAGGATTGTGTGACATGCTCTTCAACTGTGTGATATTCGCCCAAACACGAATTCAAGGAGTTTACTTTGCATGAACAATATAGACAACCCGAATAAAAATGTCGACTTTTGCTTCTGATTTCGTTTTTCAAACAGTTTCATTCAGTTCAGACTTCATATCATACGCTTTGTAGATTGACCCAAAAAGCGTTAATTTATTGCATACAATTGGTATCAAGCAATTTAATGATGATCGCGGTTTCCTTTGTCATCAACGGTATAACTTATTGTACTTATTTAGGGTTTAATCGGGACCCACGAAAACTACTAGTAAGTTCTCGTTGGCCCCGGTTCAATGCACGTGTTTATTTTGTTAAAATATTGACCCGTAAACCCTGAAATTTGACTCGGTTCGATGTAAATTTTCTTCATCTGAAGATTGTTTGCCGTTGATTAAACTTCCGTCTTAACGTTCTTTACCTGACGTCGCGAAAAGGTGAGAAAATAAAGGAGAATTAGATTAATGATTGTTTGACAAACAGCTTGCCTGCCGTTTTTGTTTCAATATAATTTTGTTAGGCGAGAATGAGCCAAGAAGTAAACGCCACGCTCCAAATATCAGATGAACAGAAATTATGTTTTCTTTAATGTATCGGTTAAGATCTAAATAACTGGGAATGTGTTTATATTTATCTTTGAAGATTTCAGTTTGCATGGGTTTGGGATATACATACATGTATACAGAGTTATGTTTGTCTGTAAAACTTTCCATTCATATTTTAATTTAAGGGAATGGACGGGATATTTTCACGCACCTCACATATTTTCTAGACGAATCGATTCTACAAAGTTGAAAGCCGAAACATTTTGTTATACCATATGTATGACAAAATTTCAATGCCCCATTAGGGCAAAACGTTCTATATCATTTTCACTAATTTACTCTATTACGTATCATCAGTCCAATGAATATAATCTGATTAGCCTAGTTAAGTAATTGAACAAGTAAAGGATAAGGCAGCCAATTCTTTTTATGGCACAACTTTCTAATTATACCGAATCTTGAGCAAATACTATTAATACAATCGAGTCCCATTACGCAAACAGTATTAATAACCGTCCAAATGAACCTAAAGTCTATAAAACTGACTAAACAGTAAACAAGTGGGCATGTTCTAAAATAGCTGCGACCAATTCAACAAAACGAGGATAGAACCTTAAACTAGGCTTAATGACAATGTGTTTGCTTTCTATCGCCCCATTAGAGCAAAACCCATTTATTATTGGAATTACTAAATTTTGTCCGCCCTAGTTAGTTTACAACAGTTTTTAGAGAGCGATGACAAACTTGACACAGCATCAACAAAAGTTGCTTTTGATTTGAAAATTTACTAGAATTTACAACTTATGTAGCATCTACTTGTAAATATTTGTGATTTTTGTAATCATGACTAGGTTTGCTGGTA